TTTTTTTAGGTATAGCCCAACCTAAATTTAGCCTAAGTCTACCTAACTTGAACTTATTCAAACACAGAATTCACTTTGGTCTTAGACCCAATTCAACTGAATCACCAGATTAACCAACCTAACTTGAGTTAACCCAATTGAATAATCATCGGGTCAAATCAACTTAACTGGGTTAACCCAATCCAACTAAATCATCGGGTCAACCCGACCTAACTCGTGTTAACCCCATCCAATTGAATCATTGAGTCAACCTGACCTAACTCGGGTTAACCTTTTTCAACTGAATTATCAAGTCAACATAACCTAACTCGAGTTAACCCAATCATACTGAATCATTAAGTCAAACCAACTTTACTCAGGTTAATCCAATCGAACTAAATCATTGGGTCAACCGACCTAATTCGGGTTAACCCAATTCAACTGAATGACTGGGTTAACCCGACCTAACTCAGGTTACCCAATTCAAATGAATCATTGGAACAATCCAATCCAACTTAGGTTAACCTAATTCAACTGAATCAACGAGTCAACCTAACATAACTCATGTAAACCCAATTTAATTGAACCACCGGGTTAACCCAACCTAACTCATACCAACCCAAAGACAAATTTTCCTTCAGACAATCAGATTAAACTTTGAGTAACCTAACTTGAGACTAAAATTCAAGCTTGACTTAAGTCTCAACCCAAGTTTAATCAAGGATTGATTTGTCTAACCCAACTCAGACTTAAAAAGACAACTTAAGTCAAAATTAACTTAGACGCCACCCAAGTATAATTTAACTTAAACTTGATTCAACCTAAATGGTTTAACTTAGATCAACCCAACTCAAACTGGTCTGCTCCCAATTTAACCCGACTTAGTTTAACCTGGCTTAGCTCAAGCCAATCTAAAACAAGTAAGAATAGTTTGTCCTCAATTGAATAAAGTCAACCTAGGTCAATTCTATTAAACTTTGGTAGATTTAAATAAGTTTGAAGATAATATGAAGGAAAACCAACCAAATTAGGTTAACTTGGATTACTTAGAAATTCATCTTAGATTTGTTCAACCTATCTTGAACTAATTTAAAATCAATCTAGACCTAGGTGACTTAGGGTTAAGGAGGGTTTGACTTAACATTCAAGCACAAAGACACTTAGCCACAGTTGGGGACAATTTGGGCAAAGGTACCAAACCAACCTAAATGAAATGACATAAAGATTCACCCTAAAAGACATTAAAACTTAAACTTGTATGAAAAAAATAAAACCATTTTTTGAGAATTTATTTTGGAGGAGACAACCTATGACTGCTAACAAATTACCTTCTAGTCACTTATGACTAATCAAACCACAAAGCCCAATTATTCTGGCATGACAGAACCGTGGGATCTTGAATGGGTCATCCCAAAAATAAAAAATAAAACATAAAAAGTAAAAAAAAATTAATTGGTTAATAACTCTTAAGCAACATAAAGTTTTGAACCCCTAAAATCTAAGAAAAACATTAAAATTTAAATGAAATCCTAATGAACAAAGATTACTGAACACAACTTGAATCCTAAATATCTGGGTCTATGAAGATTTCTTAGATGATGCAACCCATCCTTGTTAATAGGAATCTTTCAGTCCAAGCAGGTTCTATCACTTTTCAAACTAAGCATATCAGGGAGCTCGATAACCCTGGGATGATGGAAAGGCATGGGCATCTTAACCAGGTTGTCTAAAATTAAAATAATAACTGGCTAATTCAATAAAAGTTATCCCATGCTAACTTTTTTTTGTAAGGCTGCTGAAGAAAAATGGAGGTTCTCATCGTAGGTTTACTTTGCATGTTATTAGGATGTGCTAACTATGTGGTTGCAGGGATAGAATTTAAAACCCAAAGCAAAAGGATGAATCTCAACTAAACCAGCAAAGATGAAACAAATTAGGATAGTTTGGAATCTTTAGGAATATGCTGCCATGACAATGACATATGAACTTTTTTAAAACAAATTATATCTTCAATCGATAGTTTTCTCTAGTAGTCTTGACTACTTAAGATGTAATTAATTATAGGTACTTGTCATTATAGGAGTGTGCAAACTCCAGAATAGGTACATCAACTTGAATTCTCTGGTAGTTAACTTTTGTAAGGTGTCCTTTGTAGTTATGTCTTCAAAACATACTAAGTTAATCTCACTTCGAATTTGTGCTCTGGAACTATCAATGTGAAAATTCACTTTGTGAAGGCTTAACATATATTTTATTTGTTTGTTCCTGCTATTGTCTGCCCCGGCCCTCTGATTTTTCATCTCTTAGTTCTTCTACATGATCTGAGATTGAGAATTATTTAGAGAAGAGGGCAACATAATGGAAAAAAAACTAGCGACTCCTTAATGACAACGATGATGTCATGTAAACGATGAAATGAAGACCGACTGCGCAAAAACGAACAACCACAATGATATTATTAGTAATATCCTAATTTTTAATTTAATCAGCCTAAGCAGAATGAATAATTTTAGGGAGAAAAATTAAAACAATAACATTATAAAAAGTGTTGCACATAGATATAAGTCTAAAATCAGGAAAGCATATCAATATGAATTTTAGGTATAATAACAATATTATTATGCTTAAATTTATGTGAGAATTTAGCAGTTTTGAAACAAATAATAATAACATCAATACAAACCTTTCCAATCAAACTCTAAATCTCTTTAAGAAATTTAAAACTAAAACCTTTTGGACCAGGTTTATTAGAACCGATGTAAAATAAAGCTTTTTTGATATCATTATCAGAAAAACATTGATTTAAAAATTAATAATCATTTTAAAACATCTTTTTATTAATATGAAAAGTGTAGTTTTTTAAATCAAAATTTTCACCAATCTCATTAAGTAAATAAGAGTAAAAAAACACAGCTTTCTTAGCAATACCATCTTGACTTTGAACATAATTGTTATTAACCAAAATTTCTTAAATAAAATTAATTATGTCTAAGTTTAGCTCTTTGAAAAAACTGCTTAAGATCATCCTCTCTTTGAGATAACCAATTGCATTTAGTTCTTTGTTTAGCCCATTTATAAAGTAACTCTAGAGATATTATCTTGTAATAAGGAAGATTGGGCAAGCAGATCTTTATAGAGAGGATGAGCATCAAGTTACTGGATAATTAAATTCTTTTTATTATTATGCTTAACTATATGCTTAGTTAAACCATTATGAGAATTGCACCGCCAATTCTTAAGAGCCTGGTTAACATTATGCAATTTATTACGAAGAGAAAAATTTGAATCAACTTTAACTAGTATATTCCAAATATTATCAACAACCTGAATAAAATTTGGTCATAAATTCCAATAAATTTTAAACATAAATCTACAATTCAAAGTAGTAAGCCCCATAGCATCATGATCGAATGATGATCAAAATAATATCCATCTAAAACTTCAAAAAGGGATTCAAATTAATAATTAATCCATGAAGAATTATAAAGAGCTCTATCGAGTAAATATCTAATATGGTTATTAAGTTGATTATTAAACCAACTAAAAGAATGACTAGAATTATGGAGCTCAATGAGACCAACATGTGAAATGCAATTATTAAAATCAACTAAACATTTTGGAATAGGAGGAGAGCCTCCAAGCTTTTCATTAATGGATCTAATGCAATTTAAGTCACCCATCAAGATCCAAGGATCAAAGAAATCATTAGATAAAGAAATGATGGAACACCATAGAACTTTTCTAATTGAAACACTATTATCTACATAAACAACAATAACAAGGAATTTAATATTAGAAGAAAAATAATATAACCATGAATAAATTGAGGATGTATCTTAATAATAGGAAGAAAAAATAATATAACCATGAATAAATTGAGGATGTATCTTAATAACAAAAAAAATTAGAAAAACATACCCAAATTCTCCCATTATCAGAGATGTTGAAATTATCAACACAGCCTTCATTAAAGAAAAAAAAATTGAATTGAATTAAAATATTATTGTTAGATAAGGTAGTAATGGATATTTTAGTTTCCAAAAAACAAATGAAATCTTCTTTATAGTCCTTCAGAAAATTCTTGAAATCCACAATGCAGGCTTCATTATTAGGCTCCCTAACATTCCAAAAAGCTAAGTTAGGATAAAACTTAAACAAACTTAAAAAAGGAAACCAACAAAATTAAAAATATCATTTGGATCTGCCTTTCCTTGCCCTAGATGAGTCAAGTGAAGAGGAAGTAGGCAAGTTCCTACGAGGAATCATATTGTTAACTGATGCGGGAATGTTACCATTACTGGAAGTTAATTAAACTTTCACATTATAAATATTAGTAGCCACACTTAAAAGAGTAGAAGCAATTCCAATATTACCAATATTTGAAGTAAAAGTTTTATCATCTATAACAATAGCATTGTTAGCCAACTTAGCATCATTATTAACTATAACATATGTGAAGGGTGTTCCCTTTTCAATTAGAGGGTCAACCGCTGAGGAATTCCAACAATATTAGCGATCTTTGAAATACCAATATCATACCAGCAAAATAGAGGAAGATTAAGAAATTTTATCCAGATAGACACTTTTTTAAAATCATCTTTTTGTTGGCCTAAAATTGTGTGATCATCTTTTAAAGAAAAAAGGCTTACCACAAATAAATCATGGTCCACCAAAAAGAGCCATTTTCAAATCTTCATAACAGTTAAATTTGAATAAGAAAAAATACTCAGCAGGGGAAAGATTCAAACTTGAAGAAGTTATTCATAGAATGGAAGTTTATCTAAACCATAACAGACTAGCTCAAGATTCCAATGTCTTGAAACTTCATTCACTTCATTTCTGAAAATATAATCTTATTATCTATAGGAGGAAGATAAGAAAGATTCAAACTTGTAGATCTTGTTAGAGATGATGTGATAGATTGTGCAAAAATGAATAAAACATATAAACTGATTTTATAACGATGACGTGGCGCATTTGCACATAAGCTACAAAGATAAGAAACGTGCGTGCCTAAAAACAGCACCAACCTTATCAAGCACCTCAAGCCTCAGACTCATGTCCCTTATCTATATATCACTCCCGCATCCAAACCACTAAAACCTATCGCCCCTCGCCCTCCATGGCCGCAACTCTGTCAACCACAAGCCTCTCCGCCGCCTCCCCTGCAACACCGGAGCGCCAGAGCTCCTTCAGGGCCACTGCGCTTCCCCAAAGGAGCCTCCTTTTCGCAGGCAGAGTCGGGTTCGTGAAGAGGAAAGTGGGGCTGGCGGTTGTTCGTAGCTCTCCGTCGACTCCGGGAGGAATTTCGGAGAAGGTGTCGGAGAGCATTAAAAAGGCTGAGGAGGCGTGCGAGGGCGACGAGAAAAGCGGGGAGTGCGCGGCCGCGTGGGACGAGGTGGAGGAACTCAGCGCCGCTGCGAGTCACGCCCGCGACCGAGCCAAGGAATACGATCCACTGGAGAACTACTGTCAAGACAATCCGGAGACTAACGAGTGCCGCACCTTCGATAACTGATTCCTCATCACTTGTTTTTGGAGAAAATTTGCTTACTCGCGTACGCCAGTTATGTTATTTAGAAGGTGTTCCCGAATTATATCTCTATTATATCCTGTAAACTTTCTGTAAGGTATTTGTAATTTACCTTGAAAATAGAAGCGCAGAACTTTTTAGAAGGTACAAGCAGGTTAGAGTTAGGTTATAGGGAGGTTACAAGGGATATAACGTCGATAAAACCCCCAATATCCTCTCAATAACCTCCCTAACGTACGCAATGCTGCGTACATCTTAGATACGCAATTTTTTCTCCTTGTTTTCTTTGTGCTCATATATGGTAAACAATGGAAGCTACGAAGCTTATACTTATTTTATGCCGAAGTTGTTGAAAATATTTTGTAATATTTACGCGTGCCAGGTTATGCATGTAGAGATATTCATTCACAAATTTCTACGTTTATAGGCGAGTAATTCATTTAATTTTAAAGGCTAGTAATTAATTAAATTGTGTGGTATGGATGTAATTTCCCAATTTTAATTTTAATTTTGTTTTGGCTTTGCTTAATTATGCTATTGTGATCTATTAATTTGTATGCGTTATGCGTTTAGTTCTTGAAATATTAAATAAGCAGATCCATGGGTTTCTTTATTGAAAAATTTGAAATAATTACGTTTAAAGAAGATTACTATAATAAAGACTTGTATTATTACATACCCGTCCATCCTATGTGTTTACATATATCTAATACGTAAATTTTGAAGGATTGTTTAATTTTGTTTTGGCTTTGCTTAATTATGCTATTTTTGATCAATTAATTAGTATGCGTTTTGCGTTTAGTTCTTGGAATATTAAATAAGCAGATTACTGTAATAAAGACTTGTATTATTACATGCCCGTCCATCCTATGTGTTTTCATATATCTAATACGTAAATTTTGATGTGATAGAAAACATTTGGGTAGTTTAGAAGCTAAAAGCAAAGTTTAGGTGTTAGGTATGTAAATACATAGGAATTGAGTGGTATGTATGCAAATTTCCTACTGAAATAATTATAATCAGAGTTAAATTTAAACCCCTTTAAAAACTGAAAGTAAATGTCATTCTCTCCTAGTAATTAAAATAAAAAATGGAAATAATAGTGAACAAATAAAATAAAACTAAGCTTAAATATGTGCCCATTATTTTGTAGCATGATAGTTGGTTTTAGATACCCTGAACCTGCTCTTGAAGTTCATAGGTAAATTAAATCACAATCTTTAATCAATCCTTCATAAATGTACATAAAATAGAAGGTATTATATACTTAATGGAGAAATGTGCTTTATGTTATGCTTGATTGTCTTTGTATGTTGTGATCAAGCCACATCCCAAATAATTCCTACTTATTTTGAGATTAATAAAGAGGGACAAGTTTATTTTAATCATATTCATAAATAAATCATCCATTATATTAAATCATTCTCAATATCATACTCACATGAAGGCAATAGCACAATTTGGCAAAATTTGTCTTCTCATCTCACAGTAAGTAACAAGTTCTATGCATTTCTACACCATTATACATGTTCAGTAGAGAACAATCCTGTTTCCTATATTAAATCAACGGTTGTCAACCTAATCCAAGTTTAATCCTTTTTGTAAATCTTATCTCTGTGTTCACTTTTCCATCTGTAACTCAAGTGAGACTACACCTATCCAAATGTCAAGTTAATAGATCTTTTTAAAATTTGCATTAACTTAACATGAGGAAAATTCATGTGTTATTATTTCACATAACAACCAATGATATTATCGCTTATAATGTTTAAAATAAAAAATTCATAAAAATTCTACTTAGAATTCTTTTGCAACCCTTTTACCACATCTTCGCTTCGTGTGATGCCAGTTTCTTCTCGGCCCTCCTATTAACATTGCTTTGTATGCTTTTCCATTTGTAACTCAAGTGAGACTACACCTGTCCAAATGTCAAGTTAATAGATCTTTTTAAAATTTGCGTTAACTTAACACAAGGAAAATTCATGTTTTATTATTTCACATAACAACCAATGAATTCATCGCTTAAAATGTTTAAAATAAAAAATTCATAAAAATTCTACTTAGAATTCTTCTGCAGCCCTTTTACAACATCTTCGCTTGGTGTGAAGCTAGTTTCTTCTCAGCCCTGCTATTAACATTGCTTTGTATGTGCCTCCTCGGGCAAATAGCCTTCTCTTACACAACATATCAAATGACCATGACACTTTTTTCTTTCTAAAAAAAATTTAGTTTATATAAGTCTTTTTTTTTATTCAACGCTAAAGATTGAGCATTTTCATTTAATGAGAATAATGTGCTTTCTTCTTTAAGAACATGGCACGGGTGCGCCATAACACTGAAGGTGCAGGTGCGCCTGCCTCCTAGTGCGGGTGCTTTAGGGCTAAAATTTGTTCTTTTTGAGTAGTCAACGTGACCAACGACTACAAGCCCTCAGACACAACATAGGAGTGGAAATTCATCTCTCAGGCTGAAAGGAGTGCACTGGAGGGCTCTGATAGATATCAAGAACTATGAGAAAAAATAAATGCGTAAAGCATGACGCCGTTGCTCTCAAGTGGACATCGTAATGTGCTTTCTTCTTTAAGAACATGGCACGGGTGCACCATAACACTGAAGGTGCAGGTGCGCCTGCCTCCTGGTGAGGAAAATTTGTCCTTTTTGAGTAGTCAACGTGACCAACGACTACAAGCCCTCAGACACAACATAGGAGTGGAAATTCATCTCTCGGGCTGAAAGGAGTGCATTGGAGGGCTCTGATAGATATCAAGAACTATGGGAAAAAATAAATGCATAAAGCATGACGTCGTTGCTCTCAAGTGGACATCCCACACAAATGACATTAAAAGTAATCCCACTGGACATTTTAGGATGTTTAATCCTGTTTTTTTTGTGAATCACACCAAAGGAATGGAGCGTAAGATACCTCAGACACAACATAGGAGTGGAAATTCATCTCTCGGGCTGAAAGGAGTGCATTGGAGGGCTCTGATAGATATCAAGAACTATGGGAAAAAATAAATGCATAAAGCATGACGTCGTTGCTCTCAAGTGGACATCCCACACAAATGACATTAAAAGTAATCCCACTGGACATTTTAGGATGTTTAATCTTGATTTTTTTGTGAACACACCAAAGGAATGGAGTGTAAGATAAGAGAGAGAAAGAGAGAAAGAGAGAGAGAGAGAGGGGAGAGCGGGAGAGAATTGCATAATAATGAATTGTAAATTAAATAGTTGATTTTCCCTTTCACATGAAATGACCCCCCTATTTAAAAAGAAGGGGTACAATATATGGTTTTACTTGTTTACCCTTTCCTTAATAAGTATGTTACAAGATGTTTTAGTAATTTTTGCATGTGCAAGCCATTGGCCTGTTTACCTTATGACTCAATAAGCTAGAATTAGTTTGCCTGGTTCGAAGATACTTGTTTGTCTTACTATACTAAATTAAGTTTTCAGTCAGCCTTTGATTGCCTTCAGATCAGCAAGACTTGATTCGATAAGCTTAGATTTATCGTCCTACTATGTTATTTTGATTGTCGGCTATTGATCCCAAAATGAGGAAACTCATGTATGTAGAGTGAGGTTAGGATATCAGGTATAGGGTGAATCACCATAATTGGGTAGGTAGCTTACTCCTTGACAACATGATCCTTAGGAATTCTCCTTGTGATTATGTTATGGCCAGTTTTAGCCCTCTAGTGAATAATCTCTAGGGAGCTTGTGAGATGAGTGATAATGTTAAGTTCTTTCCTTGTGTTGGGTTGAGATGAGACACAGTCAGCCTTTGATTGCCTTCAGATCAGCAAGACTTGACTCGATAAGCGTAGATTTATCATCCTATTATGTTATTTTGATTGTCCGCTATTGATCCCAAAATGAGGAAACTCATGTATGTAGAGTGAGGTTAGGATATCAGGTATAGGGTGAATCACCATAATTGGGTAGGTAGCTTACTCCTTGACAACATGATCCTTAGGAATGCTCCTTGTGATTATGTTATGGCCAGTTTTAGCCTCTAGTGAATAATCTCAAGGGAGTTTGTGAGATGAGTGATAATGTTAAGTTCTTTCCTTATGTTGGGTTGAGATGAGACACATGTGATGCCTCTACTGAGCTTGATCGGACTTGATTCTTATTTCAGATGGCATGCATTTGGTCAACCGTTAGCTCTAATTCAGGAAAGCTACATATAGTCAGGTAGGTTATTTGGTATTTCTCTAGTGAACCATTAGTCTTCCTCTGGTGAACCCTTGGTATTCCACTACTAGACTCTTATTATTTGGCCTTTGTCACACTCCTTTATTCTTTTATCTGTTGGATCTCCTTATAAATCATGCAGATGTGTTTCTAATGTACACACACCCTGTACTGAAGCTACATAAATGAGTTGTAACCAGATCATCAACTGAAATAATTAACAAATAATGAATACTTAAACATTTTAGTAAGAATGTAAATTTAATAATTAAAAAAGTAAAATCATTGATCAATAATACAAGCCATAAATAGAAAAGCAAAGGCAACATATCATAATTTAAAAAAAAGAAACAAGTAAACAAAAAATTATGTAAAATTCAAATATATAAAAATAGGTGATGTCCTTTCTTTTTTTCAATAAAATGTACATGGAATGGTAAACATATTCTAAAATTACTAAGAAAATAGTAATCATGCCAAAATTACTAATTAATTATTTTTCTTTGATAAATTGAGATATAATAACAATTCATGCTTATATTATATTATACATATATAACTAATTGAACAATCAACTACTCTATTAATATAAGCAAAAATCGTAAGAAAAATATCAATTTGAATAATTCTTTAACTCTTTAGAAAACAACAACTCTGAATCCTTTAAAGTTATTATTTCACCAAATATTTTAATCTGAAAAAAATGTTAATACTCACAATAAAGTTATCCCAAAAAACTTAGAGGAATAAATAAATTACATTATTCAAATTTAGAATATTTCTATTTTGGTTCATTTTTTAACTTGGAGCTGCTAGATTGTTAATTTATCATATATTATACATATATAACTAATTGAACAATCAACTAATCTATTAATATAGGCAAAAATCGTAAGAAAAATATCAATTTAAATAATTCTTTAACTCTTTAGAAAAGAACAACTCTGAATCCTTTAAAGTTATTATTTCACCAAATATTTTAATCTGAAAAAAATGTTAATACTCACAATAAAGTTATCCCAAAAAACTAAGAGGAATAAATAAATTATATTATTCAAATTCAGAATATTTCTATTTTGGTTCATTTTTTAACTTGTAGCTGCTAAATTGTTAATTTATCGCCATATTATTTTATTTTC